TTAGCCCGTATGTGCAGGGTCACAAACATACCTTTGTGACATCCCATGGCAGCAGGTGGTAGGCTTCCACCTTCTACTGTATGAAGTGCATTTGTTTAGTCACACTTGGGACATCTCAAGGAAACGTGTTGCTGCAGCCACCACCTGGTGTTCCTAGAAAAAAACGCTGCTCCTGTCACATACCTGTACCTTGAAACAGTGTCCTCAGTCTGTTGTGTCCCCTTCCTAGAGAAGGAAGCGCACACCGAACCCCACCAGCCCCCCACTCTCCTCCTCTCAGCACGCTGTGTCCCCTTCCCTCAGACAGGCTCACCCCGCTATCCCTCACAATTACATCTGAAGCATCCTCCAGTCCTGGTTAAAGCGTCAACAACAAGCCCATCTCATCTAACATGAACTGAGAGGAAGGGTCTTGGAGAGGGGAGAAAAATCCAGCGCGATTGTGGTATCCCCTGACGTGATGGAAGGATCCCGGCTAGTCAACCTCAGGGTGGAGTTTGGAGAAGGGAAAAATTAGAAGCCCTGTGTGGTTTAGGACTTAACACCCAGGCAAGAGGCTGGATTCAGCTCTTGCTCCTGCTGGCCATAGGGCAGAGGCTTCTTCCCCCTGCCCAAGCCCCCGCAGGGCGGGCAGTGGTCCAGCACGTGGGCAAGCAAGTCCTCTCCAGCGGTGGTCCCATCCGTGCCCCCAGCAGCGCTCCTGCTCCCCGCGGAGCCAGGCAGAGCAGCGGTGTAAGGGCCAGCGTCACCCTCCTCGGCCCTGCGAGGTGGCTGCGGACAGCCCAGGCTTTAAACCGAATGCGTTTATTCTCAGTTTTGAGGTTGAGGGTCTCACCGAGCGCTGGGGTTCATTGACAACAGCGGCAAGACCAAAAGAGCAGGCGAAGGGCCCCTCAGGCACACACCCGCACAGCTGGGGTAAGCTTTGTTTCCCTGGCAAGCCACACAGACTGAAAAAAGAATTTTTTTTTAAATGCCAGCAGCTCTCCAAGTATAAACGTTAGATTTGCTAATGGGGACTCGCTGTTACTCTTGAGTAATAAATGAGGGGGCTCAATAAAGGGAAAACAGGTTTCTCCAAATCCTTGTGCAACAAAGTCCTCCCTCCTCCCTTAGCCTTAGAATAGAGATTTATCAGCAGGATAACTCGACAAGGCTCCCACTGTATCTCTATCTCATTGCTCTTCTCAAGGATTTTGGTCTTTAATGCAAAGAAAATGTGACACAGGCTCTCTGTCCCCAAGTCTAATATTAATAATCTATTTTTAATATATTTAAAAAAGTAATATCAGACTGCTATTGCTCTAATATTAATATCAGACATGGGGAGAAGATTTTTAAAGATCATGAGCCTTTGTTTTACTTGCCCAATAACCAGCAGGATTTAGACCAGCTCTGGTGGGGCGGCATTTCACCTCACATCTCTGCAGCGAAACTATGAGAAGCATGAGGATGCGCAGTTGTGAATTGCTTTTGAATAGACGTGTATGGCAAACGTGCCCTTGCAATTGGATGGGGGGGAAAAAACCCACAAAACAAGCCCATTTCTTAAACTACTCTTCACAATGTTACAGTATGTTTGTAATACTGAGACCTGAAGAAGTGCGGCCGGAGTGTGTTTTGGTTTCATTTTCTTAAGCGCGGTGAGAGGTAAAAAAAGCAGATCCCCCTCGGCACTTTTGAGAGCTCCCCCTTCTCGAGGCAGATAATTTTCGAGGCCACTTTCCTTCACAAAGCAAAAGCCAGCGTTCCTCCTGTGCCGCAGAGAAACACACAAGCCCCCCTGGACACGGCCCCCTGTCCCACAGCTTTTTTTGGCGTGAAGCACACGGCCAGACAAGAACCAGGCTCAGCCCCTGCAGGGAGCTGCCCTGGTACTTCCCAACCCCACTAAACACCGGCAGAATTATTAAAAAAAAATACTGACAGCAAACGCAAAGGAGCTCTACGGCACTGCGGCGGCCTCCAGCCACAGAGCCTGGAGGCCCTTGCCATCTAGTGGTAAACACCAGCCCCAAAGCTCCTTTTCTGCCCAGCTGGGACACTAAAAGCCTCCAGGGTTTCGAGATAGACCTGCACTGCGAGCAGTTCACCCCGTTTAAGCAGCCAGACCAGGGATAAGCACTTTCCCTTTATCCACACCGTCACTCCAGGGTGCAGGAGAAACGTGAGGATGTCCTGAAAGCGGGGACGAGGAAAAGCAAAATCAAAGTCTGCCCCCAGTGTCTGAATCCTTTGGAAAGTGTAAAAACTGAGGCTGCAATAAGCATCGCTGCTAGCACTTAAGTGTCGCAATTGTCAAATAAACTTTCTGATTTGGGACAATAAAGTGGCTAGCACAGCAAGTCAGTAGAAGACCTGCAAATCGGACCCACAGAATAAAATTCCCCGCTCCCTGGTGTCTGCCTTGGCGTGCCCCCTGGCCCGGGGGAAGGATGAGCATTTTCCCCTGTGGCAGCAGCACCTGTGCCGGCCCTGGCCCTCTGTGAACGTGCCCCCCACCCCTCCAGCACCACTCTGTCAGACCAGCTTGGCTCCTGGAAAGACAAAGGCCAAGCTGGGCCAGGATCAGAAGCCTCAGCAGATGCGGAGCCACCCCAGCCACAAACCCAAGAGGGGGTTTTAGGGGGTTATCAGCACCCGCTGCCGCAGAGCCAGTGTGCCTGAGCCAGCCTTAGGGCTCAGCACCCTGCACCAAGCTCAGACCTCTCGCAACCGCCCAGCTTCCCCAGGCAGCTTGTTTCTCCGAGGTATTTCTCAAAGCAGGGTCTTACAGGACTTGAGGGTAGCACATCCTTACCTTCTTAAATGCCAAAACCACTCCTGTCGGGAACAACTGGTGCACAAGAGACGTATTGTGACACATTCTGCCCCAGCAAGGACATCGCCTGGTGTTTTTAAACGTGGGGAAGGGTAACAGCTGATCAGCAGGCATCGAAGGGCTGATTAGAGACACAGGAACTGCAATTAACTCAAAATAAGCAAGAAGTTCTCAGAAAGACAGAAGGCTCCTGATTAGGTCCTTAAATAAGGAGGAACAGGGCACTGTGCTTGGAAGTTTAAGACTGACTGGAATAAAAATTCCGTGTTGATGCAGCCCCAGTGGTTTAACCTCGCACACAGCAGCAGCCAGCCTTACTTCAAGCCAGAGCTAGCGTTCACTTGTGAACACACGGATGTGCTGGCAGGAGGCTTTTGACGTGGTGTGGAAATATTCTAGCACAGAGGAGAGGGAGTTGATACTGTATGTGGGCAATACTTTGATGACCCCAAAGTCACCACATTACTGCCCCCTCCCATGCTCCCTTAGGTTTTAAGGCCAAAGTTAAAGGAACATTCATATTTATCCATTTCCCGTTGTGGAAGCTGAAAAGCCCTGTGAATGGAAATGCAGGAAAATAAAGCCCAAGATGAATTTCATCTCGGCATCCCCATTTGTAGAAAGCAGGGCGACAGCCTTGCATTGAGGTCTCCTGCCTTTCAGAGACTCCTGCCCCAGGTGTCCATAGCTGTACCTCCTCCAAAGGGGGCTGCACCCCAAGAGCTCTGACGTTAGCACTGGGTAGTTGTTCTGCTCACTTCGTGACGCTGCTCTGTCCCCCCCCAGGCCCCTCTTGCCTTTCCTTTTGCCTGAAGCCGAGTCCAGCATCACTAGGTGTCCATGTAAGCCCTAGACCAGACGCAAACCCTTCTCCAGTCTACAAAGCAGTGCGGGAAAGCCTCCGTTCTATCCAGCTTTCAGAGATAACACCATATTGATTACCAACACCCACAGGGATAACAGAGATGCTCAAAACATAAGAGCTTCTGATCTACATGAAGAATACAGCTAACAGACACATATTAAAGGTTTAATATAAAACCCAGCGTATATAAATATAAACCCCATATATTAATATAAACCCCTGCCAGCTTCCAGTTTAATCCCACATAAAAAAAAAAAATCTTCATATAAATGTTACCCAAGCAACATGAATCACTGCCTATGTTTTACAAAGATTGTGTATTTATTTGTGTAGGATGAAGGGAACTGTCAGGAGACCCCTGACAGCAGACGAGTGCCCAGGGGAAGGAGTGGTACCAGCTCAAACAGCATTTGGTGGAACTTTAGGCAGAGCAGAGCTGTACAAGAGCACCTTTATCCGTTTTGCTGGAACAGCCCAGGAAGCTTTTCTCAGAATTGGTACCAAAGCAGAAAAGCAAGCACGTGTTTTACAAGCACCCGACACGGGTAGCCCCCAGAGACACCCCCAGACATACAGCTCAAACACGCAGATCAAAAGACCCAAGTGCTCAAGTTACAGAACGCCATGGCATTTTACTGTACTGGGGGAGTAGCCCACTTGTAAAAGTGAGATGAGTAGGACAATAGCAAAATAAGTAATTACCTCAAGATTAAAGGCATTTTGTCTGTGTGTGTGTGTGCACTCTGTTTTTTGTTTTGTTTTTGTTTTTTTGTTTGTTTGGAAAAAAAACCCAACCAACCAACCAAAAAAAAAAAAAAACAACCTTATTTTAATCTCTTATCATTCAGTGAAAGAATCCAGGAGTCCACTTAGGCATTTTACGTAACAGAAGTAATCGAGGATGAAGCATGCTTTCATTTCCTTCTCCTGTACCTCTTCATTCCACAGAAACTTCCTACTTTACCAGCATAGTTCCTTTTAGAAAAGCTAAAAAGTCTACAACCAATCTTAAAAGTATCAAGAAGAAAGGAGGGAGAAGGTGGCTTGATTCTTGTTGTGTTTGTTGTTTGTTTGGGGTTTTTTAATTCTTAAGAGTGAAACTACAACTTCCCAGGACAGGGCAGAAAAAACACCTTTAACAACTTCTCTAAGAGATACGCTACTCTGCACTTTCAAATGAAGCCATCTGTAGGTACTACAGCAGCTAAATGTGACCTTTGACAAGTTTTCTTTCATAGTGTTGCACACTCAAACAAGAAGTCTTACTCTACACAGGCAAAATCCCATTCAAAAAAGATCAGAAAACCACTTGGGTCAAGTACTCATATCAAGTCTGGTTACTTTATTTTTCATCTGTGCAGTCATTTAAAGGAACAGTTAATGATGAAAACAGACAACCACAGAAGCTTTAGGTACAGTATCATAACACTGAAGAAGCAAATGACCACATGGAACACATTCTTTATGCTGGTCATTTCCAAACAGAACAGAATTACATACACAGGTCTAGTACAGTGTAAAACCTGATATTAAGCAGCAAGTTGCTCACAAATTGCAGTTACAGTATATGGCATTTACTGCAAATAGCTACAGCAGCAGTGCTTAGTGGATGAACTGCATAGAATTAGCCTCATGGGCAAACATTAGATCACCACGATAATAACCTTAGTGGCTCCCTAACAGGTCTGAATTATGCAATTCAGCATGAACAGAATTGTTTATACCACTCAAATTTTAGCAATAGCTTTTGTATTTTTTCCACCAGTCTACACTGTTCGTTCCAGCCTTCACTGCAGTAACTGTTTTCAATTAACTGTCACGTACAACATTGGTAATTACTGCTTATTCAAAGTTCCACAGCCCCTGCAAAAAAGTGATACGACTTTATTTAAAATAAGAACCCAAGATACATTCAAGAGAATGGCTGCAACAATAAGGCAATAAACAGTTTTAAAAACAGAACCTACTATACAAAACAAGACCAACCGTGTAACCTGTTGCCTTCGTAAGGTTTCAGACTTGAATGGGTCAAATCAAAGTTAAGTGCTTACCCGCTAGTAACATTTCAGAAGTACACTGGTAAAAATATTCAAAGACATGAGTATATTGGACTGCCAGCAATCACAACCCAGGTCTTATCACAAGTACGCTTTCACACATACAGCTTCACTTTCACAAGCTCACATGAAGTGCCCTGTACAAAGATTTTACTACAGACTCCTTCAGGAAAAATTAAGCATTGACAGAAGACATCAGCATTCCAAAATTCTTCCAAACGGCGTAATATAAACCTTTGGCCTGCTACTAATAAGATCATTAAAGTTATACACTAGGCAGACAGCATTATTGGCAGTTATGTCACAACAACGTTAAAAAAATAGCATCAGCTGTTTAAAAAAAGAGACTGAAAATAACTCTGGGGACTGAAATGTACACCCACATACAGCAAGGAGGGGAGAAGGAAGTGGTTTGGCTAGAGCAGATGAGCTACCCACAGGTTCCACATCCATCTTATTGCATATTTGATCAGTGTCAGCATTCAAACCCGCATGGATTTTTCCTTCATTATCATGCTCCAGAGTCTTGATTCTTGCACCTTGACTAGCTACCCTGACTAGCTACACATATATTGCTGCAACTTCACATTTCTTCAGCAGCTACCAGAAGCAGAGGCCAAGCTAACTTATCTCAGCCAGGGATACCACAAGCATCAGCCTTTTGCCATCTTCTGTACACTAAAGTCTAAGTAAAAGTGAAGTGCAGTGGAGTGTCAATATCCTACATCAGTACAAAAAAAAAATTTAAAAAAATCTCTATTTGTAAGCCTATATTAGCAAAGCTCAAGACAAAGATGCTGAAGATGTTTCTTAAGAAAGAGGTACCAGTACTTGCTTAGCACTGCTAAACTGAACATCTCATCGTGTGACAAGACGTACAGACAGAAGAATATTGTGACCTTAAGTTGTGCAAGGCAAACAACCGAAAGCAGCAGGGAATAGAATTTGATTGCTTTTGCTCAGTTTGAATGATTGGGAATTTTACTAATTAAAGAAACAAAACATTGTTAGGCATTCCTTTGCCAACAGATAGCATAGAGGAAGGAGACTACCAATATTTCTACGTGTGTTTAAAGGATATGTGCATAGCACTGCCTCATCATGCTTGAAAATGTAACCCTGTAATAAAAAGCATGCTTATACATACGTGCCAGTATTAGACTCCAAAGGAAGGTCGGGGCTGATCTTATATGTTTTAATACTGAAACATCCAAATCATTTTCTGAAGTGAATGCTCTCATTAGCTTTTGAGCAGTATTCACAGATGACAAATTAAAACATAAAGGCACTAGAAGAGTGCTCTTTTCCCAGATGTAGGCCTACTTGATGAAAAAGTGTTACTGTTTTAGCCATACAGTTGAACCAAACCACAAGTTTGGAAGTCAAGGTTTAAATTTCTTAACAGCTAAAAGTACAAGACCAATTTTGTAGTCTTGTTTAAGTTTTTATACAGGGAACAATGATCCCACCACCACCACCAATCCAACCTTTGAGAGAAAACTGAAGCTGATCATGACAAGACCTGTCGGTAGTTCTCTCACACACACATCAGAGGTGGTACATGCACGTTCCTCCTCGTTCCAAAGATATCATGCATCAGTCTTCAGAGTTGCTAAACAGAAGTGGAGCTCTTCCTTCTGAAGTGCAATGTCAAAATAGCTCTATAACTCTTTCTCAAAGAAAACAGAAGCAACTGCTTATTATCAGTAAAAATCAGTAAGTCCTCCAGCAAACATGAGGTACCAAATCTGTTGCTATAACACTATCAAAGTGTTACAGTGATGCCTACCAAATTGGTCAGAATGCCTTAACTGGGTCCAGGAAAGAAGTTATGTCAGGTACCATATACCTGATGTAAAGGTGTACAAAGTGAACTAGAGAAGTGCTTAGTATCCAAAAATCCAAAGATGATGCTTCAGAATACCGAGCGGTGAGTACATCACCCAGGCACCTTCACGCACCTTCACCTCTCCAACACAAGTTGGACTTACAGTAAAAGGTTCAGGAAAAACATACAGAAACCTAGCAGGACTGTTTAACCTGTAACCCTTCTTATGCCAAAACCAAGAAAACAGGTCTTAGCGCCCAATTATTATTTTTTTTTTTAAGGACATAATAAAAACCTCCATATCACGTGCATCTAATATTGATTTTTCATATTTCATTCATACTTTTTATATGAGAACATAACTAAAATCTCACTTTAGAACACTTTCTGAAGCAGGATATTCTTTCGGTCATTTTTCAAGTTCACATGCATTCTCAAGGTTGAAGAAAAAAAATATAGATTCATATATAGCTAAGGAAATAACTCAGTTTCACTATATGTCGTTACAGTGCTGTAAAGAAAAAATAATTTAGAAACCATTTCAAGTCTAAAATGCTTACTATGTTCAGACTAATGCAAAGGCTAAGCCTATGGTCCAGGACCTGTTTTTAATCTGTGTGCAGAGATAGGAGCTACAGCAGCTCAGTGTTTTTCTGATGGAGATTTCTCTCCACCCCTCCTTTCTTCCAGTATTCTATGGCTCGCTGCTGAATCCCTCCCTGAACCTCTACCAAAGTAGCATACATTGGTAGTTCAGAAGCAAAGGTCCACAGGTATTAATATTACCTCTTAAAATCAGTTTTTCAGCAAGATCAAACCACTGAACGGCACAGTGCAGAGGTGCTTAACCTATTCATAGTTAGTCAGAAGTTCAGAGTACTTTAAGTTGTGTCTTCTGTAGGTGCCCTTCGCTGTCGAGCAGATTTCTGTCTGCCTCTCTGAGGTGAGGGTGGAGTCTCCTGTTCAGCGTCAGTCTCTGAAGGCTCGTTGTCTCCCTGTTGGGACCCCGTATCACCTATTAATTCTCTCAGGAATTTGAATTTAGACAAAAACAATTGCCAGACCACGTACCAGCCTGCAGGAGAAAGAAAAAAGGTATTGCTTAGTTACTTAGTACAGATTGATAGTCAGCTCTCAGGCAAAGTATACCAAGTGAGAAGAAAAACAAAAAATTTGATCAGCTCCCATCCTTTAACTACCAACTCTCAACCCCAACACACCCCTCCACAACATACCCACTCCTTTTTACAGTACTATAAATACCAATTTGACAGTAAAGTTTCCTCATCCAGAAGCAAACATTGAAGCTCCAGGCAAGGATCTACACATTCTGAGTTGTATTGCCACAGTGAGCAGCAGGTGGGTGATCACCATTTCACAGATAAAAGTCTTGACTGTCAGGAGAAATGTAATTTCTGTGGTTATACCTAAAATAAGGACTGAGGGTTCATTACACAGGCACTGTAAAAAGGCAGCGCTAGAGTTTCTACCCTCACTCATCAAGCACATCATTCTGAAAATCACATTTTAAAAGCTGCATTACATAATCACTATGAATCACACTTGTGGAAATCTTTAAATTAATACCATGTTTTATAATAAATCTTATTTTGAAATGCACAAGGTCTTCCTTACGTTCACTAAAGGCCCCATCCCCCAAGTTCAAGGTGCTCCCTCACCATGCCCAAATCCCATTGCAGTAAAATTAACAATCTCGGGTAAATTTATGTTCTGCTCCACTGCTAAAATGCTCTGAGTCCCAGAACTATGCAACTAAAGAGTTGAGATGGTCACATTTCAAGAACCTCTCTTGAAAAATATTTAAGATTCAGGTCCGCCTCTTTCTTGTATCAGTGTTTCTATAACAGGTAGACAAGGAACTTAAAAAACCAGATATATTTATATCTGGACCTAAATCAAAATCTTCCTCTTAAAAGGTCTCCCCTATCTAAGCATTTAGGTCAAGAGAGACTGGAGTTTTCCCCAGCTGAGGACTAGTGATACCCCTTTCCCTCTAGCCAGCCAGTCAAGTTTCATCATCCGTAGAACAGGAACATAACTTCTCCGTGAAATACACAGTGAAGTAGCATAAAATTTAAACAGCTATTTGAAAACATATGCTATATAAGCATCATTTGCAACACCAAAAACCATCTGTCTTGCATAGAGCTATAAATTAGTACTCCCATTCTCTGTTCAGAACGTCTTGCTAGCTATTCAAGCCTGTACTGCTGACCTGTGCAAATAATAAGAACCCTATTTTACAGGGCTAGGGAAATCTGTCCTCCCGATGACACTGCTGTCAGCAGAAACAGACTTCTGAGTGTGGACAGTAGGGGTGTATTAGGGAAGGGGAAGAAAGATTAATAAGTGGCACTTGTGTAACCCCAGCACCATTATTTTTCTTCCTCTTCTGTAATCAGTCAGGCCAATATGAGGAGGCCATTGCTTAGGGTGAGATAAGATCTCACCCTTCCTTTCTCTCCCTCCTGGAATACTTCTCACATCCTTCAGACTTCTAATTTCCATAACTTCTCTGCTGCTGAGGAGAGCTGGAGGAAAGCTTTTATATGACAACCTTTTATAATCTAAATTAATTCCTAAAGCCTACACCAAGTATTTCCTTTTCCATTAATACCACAACCTTTAAATGATTTGTGATTAAACTGAATCTGATGTCCCACAAATGCATTAAATCCCCCTGCACCTAAAAAACCCTCAATGGCAGATGCCTGGTTTCGGCATCTTTTTTGTTTTCAGATCTAGAAGAACTGAAGTAACAACTTTTTGAAAGTTGTTTCTATTGAGGGGTATTTCAGGTCTCTGGGACCTTCAATGCTTTGTGCATTCTGAAGACTAAACCAATGCGTTTTTCTCATGGGTCTAAACATCATTAGAAGTAATCAAATTTCCAAAAGTCATGCTCATTTCTAGTCCACATGGGAAGGAAAATGCATAAAATATTCCAAGTGAATATAGGTCACTTGCATGAAAGTGAGATCTAAGCGGAATATTACAAGCCATTTAAAAATGTTTTCAACTCTTCAATTTGTTGACAGACAAAATTTGAGACACTAGACTTAGAAGTGCATGAAAAGCATGTGGTACATTCTACTAAATCCACTCAAGCACATGGAGGGGGGAGACACACACTCTCAGATAGACAGTTTGGTTGGGTTTGACTTTTTGCTTGGTTGCTTAAAATCCTACCTAAAACACTTGCAAAGTGAATTACTGTGAAACAGACACATTACTTCCAGATAACACCACAGAGCAGGGAGGAAGAGCCAAAAATATTCAGGGCCTTCCCAAAAGATCTATAGGGCATGACCTGAATATATTTGGTATAAATAAATACCCTGTTGAGAGAGGTACTTTAACTTAGGCTAGATAAAGCAGAGCACATGCTTCCTCTATCACTGCAGAAAGGCAACTTACACAATTACCATTGGCAGGGGGAGAAATTCAGAAGAACATTCACAGTTAATTCTCAGACACTCTCACAAAAAGCAGCATGAATTCCCCCCCACACACACACTTTGTTTGAATTAGCGCACAATGGTCTCAGTATCCAAAATACAAAGTACTAAAAACAGACTTTAGAGCTCTCTAGCTCAAGACTACAAACAAGACACTGTAAATAAATCACCCAACAAGACTGGTTATAGTCGACAAACAACCCGACTCATGATAACAGCCAGCTGAAACAAACCACAATGCAGCGCATTGAAAAGAAAGTTACAGCAGGCTCAGTCAATGCTAATAGTGGGAGGGCAACCAGGCTGGAAAACTAGAGCCTCAAAACCTCACAAGATCTCCCAGCCTGTAGCAGAGACATTTAGATAGAAGGTAATCAAAGCAGAAAGATTTCTTTCTTTCACTTGCTCTAGTTACAGAGCCAGCTGGGATGGAAAGCTTAAAAAAAAAAAAAAAAAAAAAAAAATCCCCAAAACAAACACACTTGTCAGAATCAAGTTAAGACTGCCTCTTCAGCTGAGACTCCCTGTTGCCTCACTGTTACTGTACAAATAGGAATTTTCTTGGAAATACCCTGACTACTAAAGAACAAGTTATTCGGGGTAAGAGAAACATTCTCCAGCAACAGTATCAACTAAATACACCATCAAGCAAAACCACACACACAAAGCCTGGAGGCAGATTCACAGTACTGAGTTACTTCTGAAATCAGAAGACAACACATCTATTAATTTCTCAGCCTAAGAGCATTGCAAAATGGTAACACGCAACATCATGCCACACTGAAGAAATGTAAGTTACACAATAGCGTATTTTTTCAAATAAAATAATTGTAAAGTAATTTAAAATACATCCAAAGGAAAAAACAACAACAACAAAAAAAAAACACAAAAAACCCAAAACAACAACAACAACAAAAAAAAACAAAAACAAACAAAAAACCAAAACAAAAACAAAAAAAAAAAACAAAAAAAAAAACCCAAAAAAACGGGCATTTCCTTGCATTCTTGTCTTTATGCAGCTCGGTTTAGCTTTGCAGCTCTTTTCCTGTAGAGCTCTTCCTGGACAGGTAACTGACACCACCAGTTTGCATCTCAAATGCTTCCACTTCGTTCAGGTGAGCCATTCTCAAAGAAGTCCTGCTGGTTTCACCTCACCACACACAAAATACTTGATTTGAATCAGCCTTCCACAGTGCTGCCTTTATTTTCTTTAGTCATTCGATTTCCCTTTGCAGCTAATCCTTACCATGATTGAACCTATGGAAGCCAAACAGCACACCAACAGCGATTTCATGCACTCAGAGCAGGGGCTCCAGCCCTTGGTGCAGCCGACACCTCCAACCCAGAGTCGGGAAATCTGATCTACCACAAACAGACAGTATTTTGCTTTTAGGAAAAACTGCAGCTCCCAGCCTTGCAGAGTTTAGTAGTACTCATTAAAATCTGGGGGCCACTGTCTCACTTAAAACACCACAGCCAGGTGCCATCGGAAGATATTTAAGCCACATTTGACATTGTGCCATCAACATGTCAACCTCTCTCACAAATGATGATGAAATCTGTTTGCAAAGATGGGACCACAAGTCAAAGCCTCTTTTATTGACTCACACGTAGATGTATGTAGCATCTATGCAGTATCAGGACGTTAAACTGATTTTATTATTTGACTATGCTTCATTAAAGCTACCTTTTCTGTTACTTCCCAAACCAGCTCTTAGTTATTTGTAAAGGGGAAAGAAACAAAATGATCCGACTACAGCGTTACTCCCTCTCCAAAGGCGAGGAGTTCCATGTATTTCATTTACCTTATACTGGCTTCTGTGCAAAAGCTAACAGACAGTTTTCTTTACTGGAGCACATTTTCCTCTTCCATTTGAATCAGGAAGAGCAAACAAAACAAAAAACTCTGGCTAATATGGAGTGCTGGGGTAAAGCAACCTGATTTTTCTTATGTGAAATACAAATAATCAAGAAAGGAAGGAAGGTGATGTAACAGGACAAGACAGTCTGAAGATCTGGTTTCTATTTCTGACCTTACTATGGATTTCCTGTGCAGTCTTGCAAGATCTTTTTACCTCTGTGTCCCTACTGATTTGAAAATGAGATGCTGTTACTCCAGCACATAAAAACTAATTTAGAAAGAGGGTATCACCAAGGTGAATGTTGCCTGTATTCAAATGCTGAAGTGTCCATCACAGAAAATCTCAAGCAGCTATAGCACAAAAAAAAAAAAATAAAGAGCAAAAAGCTCTAGATGCTAACCTGAGATTTGAGAGCTCTACTGAGCTCTGCGCCAGATGTTTTTTGTGATGACAGACAAGTCACTTCAATGCTGCGCTGTTTTTAATGTGTAGATAATACACTGCCCCAGTGGATAGCTTTGCTATGGAGAAGATCAGGCCAAAGGAAGAGTACACTACTGTGATACTGGAATAATGGAAGACATCAGGTGACACAGTGCTGGGTTCAGCACAGCTCCTTAAACCTGCTCCGTTTAATGCAACGCTACCACGTGCTGCCCACTGACTGAAAGAAAACTTGCTCTCTTCCTATATCCCATTCATAACAGTTTCAAAACTTGGCTTCAAATTAAAGGGTATTTTCTCTTTATTGCTGTTCTAATCAAGCACGATTTTCCTCGTCTTTTGAAGTATTTTACAATATTGACTCATTTAAGGTAGTTATAAAACTGTTTAAACAAAGCACTAAAGATAAAGTTACTCAGGTAGAACGTAGGGCTCAAGTGTTTTCCCATCTGCACCTCAATTCAAGACTTGTTAAGCAAAACATGCATTTGTTTCAGCGATTTTTGTTTTAAGGTCATGTCTCTCAAACTGTATCTGATTAACCTCTTGACAAACGAGACAAACTCTTCCACCTGCTCCACTGAAGGAACTTCTGCAATTTCACATGGCTCCCTGCATTACTACACTGGGAAAATAAAACAGAGGTAAGCAGTACTGGAGTTCACCTTGGCAGGTATTTTATCTTATCCTTGAGTATGCACGAGTTCCTCGCATCTGCAGAGGAACACAGAATAAGCAATGAGACTGCCAGAGAGAAACCAGAGAAAGGAAATCAGAAAAGGTGGGAATAAAACAAAAGATGCATGTTACCTTACTCCCACTTTTAAATAAACAACTGAAAAATTGCTGTGTTTACAGCCCCTCAATGGTTTCTATGTCAGATGTGATCAGTTTACAAATAGAGATGTTGCTAGCTGCCAGCCTTCCATGCTTCCTAACAAATTCAGATTAACACTGAAAGTAGCAGTTGCAAGCATCCAGAAGTGTTTAAAAGAAATCAGGTCATTTATTCAAAGTACTTCTATAGACATAAAATTCCTAATTCAGGCATAAACATTTGCTTTTCACACAGCTGAAGAACTGGTCCAAATAACTTCTGACAGTTTGTGCTTTGAATTTTGTCTTTTCACTGTAGAAAAAAGACAAAATGAGGTTTTCCCCCATTATTTAAGTTTTGATAGAACCTATCACATCATATTTGTGATAAACAGCAGAAATCCACATGATCCTCGGATGTCTCCTGCATATTTAAGTCTATTGTTCTCTGCAAGAATTCACACCACGAGCCCTTTTAAGCCACTCAAAATCCAAGCTACAGCTCCTTAGGCTCTTGACCCTGTAAGACCTTTTCATAAGGCTGTTTCAAGACATCAATACATCAGATGGCTGTAAAATATTCTTATAATCAGATCGAGCTTACTCTAGATTCTATCCAGCCATTCTTGTATCAGATTTGCCCACTGATTTGTATATATCACTGGTTGGCATTTACTCATATCCTGTCATACACAGCACTTGGTCACCCTGGGAGTCTAACAGGCTGTAAAGAATAGGAACCTGTAGGTAAGAAGATGGGTAGGAAACTGCCTATCACTGGTACAGATAAGCAATAATGAAGTTGGAAGTAGCTGTACTCAGTTTTTTCTAGTATTGGTCTTGACACCGTTTTCCTTTAATATTTTTCATTAATAATCATGGCACAAGAACAAGAAGTGTGCCAATGTTAATTAATAAATGTTGTATGATGAAAAAAAAAATGATTACCAATGCTGTAAATCATTATCAAATCCTACTAAGTCATTTCTAACCGTGTAACAGTTCAAATCCCCCCCCACCCTCCCCAAAAAAACCAACCCACCAGCTTCCTGTGTGAGATACTTTTGAAATCTAGGTGCTTTTAGCAATCATTTTATAAGCTCTGATACTGTTGAAAGTAAAATTTAATGAATGATTCAAAGTAAAATATGCATTGAATCCAAGTTGATTGTACAATGCATAAATCCAAACTGCTAAGTATTTACAAGCCACTTAAAAATAAAGTAATTAATTACTTTTGCTCTCCAAGCAAGAAAAAACTAGAGAGATGTAAGTTAACAGCAAAGATAGAGATCCTTAGCATTTCAATTCTATTTGTCACATACAGACAAAAGCAGAAAGGCCTGGAGAAAGTGACACCCATTTCTGCTTCTGAACAGCACATTGCAAAATAATTTTAATCTTTCAGCCAAAGAGTAAGCAGAGATCTCATATGCATACTCTGAAAACATAAAAACCCGAGCAAGTATCACATCTCATCTTCTAAAAGATTAAAAGGTGCCAGACAACACCTAATGAGTATATAGAAACTCGAATAAATATCCACCTAGGTCTCCATTTAGTCTGTAACAATGGACAGCACAGGATGCAGAGGAAAAGAGCACAAGACCAGGGAAAGTATACAAGGTGCACCCACATATACCCTTGCAGTCCCAGTTACCTGTATTTCAGAAATTTCCTTACCTAAATATTAGTACCATAGCTTAAAGATGTTGACCTTTCTACCATAAACTTTAAATGATAAAAGTTTCAGCACCCAAAATATTCTTTGTTAATGAGCTTGCAACTTATTTCCCCACTGTGTAATAAAAGCTTTTTGTTTAAGCCTGTTGTTTGATCATGTAACTTTAGGTCTTCCATTTCTTCTGTAACGAAGAAATTTCACAACCATTCCCAGTTCACCTTTTTGATTCTACTCTGTTTATAACCATAACCCTCCCTTTAGTCATCTATTTTTCAAGCTAGACTGATCTAACCTATTTAGAGTTTTTTTCATGCAGAAATCATCACGCAGCTCTCACCATCCTAGCTTCTTAAAAATAAACTAGGATTATGATTTTTTTTTTTTAATAAGGTAATAAATTTTAACAAGAAAATACAGTTTGAGACACAGGCACACGGTAGATTCCTGCAGCAATATAATGTCATTTTCTATTTTATTTCAATCTTCTAATGTTTGATTTTCCTATTTGCTTGCTATAAAGCATTAAACAGGTATTTTGAAGAAGTGCTTGCAATTAGTTCAGCTCCTCCTCTCTTTGGAATACTAACAGCTCAGTTTGAAGCCATTATACTTCCCCACAGAAATTATGTATGCACACATTTCACACTTTATGTGCATTACTCCATACATGTTAATATTGGATTTCACCTCCCATTTTACTATCCAGTCCCTTGATATTGCAAAATCTTTTCCCAACGCTTTGCCATTTTGACCACAATTAACAATTTTTTAAAGTGATCTCCGCTCACTCTTCCCTTTGCTCCCTTGGTTTTCAGAAATCACTTATAAACCCATCTGGCATTTGCGTTTTATCTCACAAGCCTTTTGCCACAGGGTATGGCATATTTGAGTCTGGTGGTGGTGGTTTTTTTTTTTTTTTTAGAGCTTCAAGTTCAACATATTGATCGCAACACCCACACGCACTACACTGCTGACTCCTTCCAAGAACTCCAGCAGACCTGCAAGTCGTGCCTCTCATTGACATAACCCTTTTCTCTACATTTAAAAAAGAAAAATAAATCAAGTCTTGGATCCGCATAAGAAAAAAAAAAACGCCCAAGAGCTGCTCTCCAACTGTTCTAGCAAACAGATGTCAAAAGCTGAGTGGTACCAGGAGGAAGTTTACTTCTTCCATTCACTGGCATTTCAGACCCATGTACAAGCTGCACAGAGTGGCCCGCTCCCTAAAAGAGAAAAAAGCTGTCAGCTTCAGATTAGTCACCGAATTAAGATCTGGAAGCATTTCAAGGCTCAAAATTATTTGGAAACAAAGAGAAGGCGGCGCTGTGAACCACCCGCGATCCCCCACCCCGCCCCCCCCGGGCCCCGGGCCCTTTCATTTCCTCCAGTCAATCCGAGCAAAGAGGAAGCACCAGGGAGAACGGCGGGGGGGGTGTGTGAGAGGGGATGAGGGGGCGAAGGGGAATGCGACCCCCGCACATCCAGCCCAGGCCAGCCCCTCCCGCAGCCCCTCGCCCCCTCCGCCGCGGGGAGCGGGCGGGACTCACCGCACAGCATGAAGAGCAGCACGCAGGCCAGGGTGGCCACGATCACCACAAAGGTCAGCCCGATGCTCTGCCACATGGCGCCGGCACCGCCGGGGGCCTCTCCCCGTTAGCCGCCCAAGGCCCGGCCCGGCCCACCCTCCCCGCACCGGCGGGGCTGAGGCGACGGCAAAGGCCCCCCGGCGGCTACGGGGAGGGGGAGGAGGAAGAGGAGGGGGAGGAGGAAGAGGATGCCGCGCCTCGCATTGCTGCTCCCAGGGAAAAGAGGGGGCAGCTCCGCGGCCCGGCGGGGGGGAGCGGGAGCGGCGGCGGCACCGGCGCCCTCTGCTCCCGCCGCTTCACAGAGAGTCGGGGGCGGGCCCGGCGGTGCGGTGCATGCTGGGAGCTGTAGTCCGCCTCCCGCCCCGGCGGGCGGGAGAGCGCGCCCCAGCCCTCCCCGTCGCGACCACAAGTCCCAGAGGGCAACGCGCCGCCGCGCCGGCGGCGGGGTGGGCGGTGCTGACCTGAGGGCAGGGCTGAGGGGAGGCAGGGCTGGGGGCGGGCAGGGCTGAGGGAAGGGGTCAAGGGCGGGTCTCCCGTTCGGGACCCCTCTGTTGACATTGTAGAGGTGCATCAAAGCTGCTCTTTCCCATTCCAGGGAAATCGGGGGAAATATCTTCCGGGAATCGTGAGGTAAGTGTGAGATGATCTTGCCTCCGAAATGGGTTTTGCTTTATCACTGGGATACGGTTATAACTTTCCTCTGGAGTGTAAGAGACACGGGTTAACATTTCGAAAACTACTGGAAATGACCGGTTTGAACGCACAACTGCAGAAGCCTGATTCCCTGTGGAGATGTCACCGTTGCAGTGAGACGTCAAAGAAAGCTAACCCAGTTCTTCTTTGTGTTTCTTTTACGGATTATTTAAAAATCTCCCCTTCTAAGGGAAGGTAAAAACTCTTGGTTTTCCTGCTCGTTGAGCATGCCACACGCCTCCTCCTTTCAAGATACCTGTAAACCAGAACTACCTGCACATGCAGTCCCCCATTCACATTCTTAAATTTGCTGTCACTTCGCCAAATCAAACCAGAGTTCTTTCTTTCCATTCCTAGCCTTCTCTCCCGTCACTCCCAGCCCTGTTTAACACTGCCTAAACCACTCGGCACGTCTTGTGCAAGTATCGTTCAACATGAAACATGTTTTCTGTTATTTCTCAATAATTTTGATATGTCTCCCAATCTTTAAATGCCACTCTCATTCTAGCCTAAGCAGTTGTTACACATGCTTAAGCAAGGTTTCTTCCATACTGCAAACAAACAGCAATCCAGTAACAGTTACTACCATATTAACTTTTGAAAAATATTTGATCTACCTTGTAGCTACACTGTTTTGTTTCCCTGATTTTTTTTTTTTTTTTAACTTATCATCTACAGTTAGAGTGAGGTCTCTAGGTATGGGACAGCCACTTTCTCTTTCCAGTAAAATAGCTGTCACATTTTAAGGATATTAAAATGTTTTGTATACATCATCCTATGGTTCCAAGCTGTTTTACTAATAGTAACTGATTAATTCACATCACATCCCCAAGCACTGCAGAACTACCCAGCATTTGTAGCTGAAGAAATAATTGTCTTGTAATTCATTAATTTGGGAGAAATAAACATATATTATCCATATATATAGATCATAGATACACATGGATGCATATATACGTGGTTCATATATATATATGCTCAAATATACATGATACCATCCAGGGCAGTATACTAGGAAATAAAGATGAAAACAGGTAGCAATTAGCCTTCTCATATTACACTGCACAGGTAGAAGAGGGCCTTTTAATCAATGTATATTCAGTTTGGAAAACCTTATTTTTATTTAAGTGTCCCTTTCTCTAGCATATCCACCAAGCTAATCACCTTGTTATAGAAGATGATTAGGTCAGTCAAGCAACATTTCTCATTCGTAAATCTATGCTGACTACTCACAATCACCTTCTTGACCTTCATATGTTTGGAGATGATTTCCAGAAGGATTTTCTTCATGACGTTTCCAGGGACTGAGGTGAGGCTCACTGGCTTGTAGTTCTCCAGATCTTCCTTCTTGCCCTTCTTGAAGACAGGATAAATGCTCCTCAATCTCATCTGGTTTTCAGGAACCTCTTCCACTGTGAGAAGCTACACTGTATTTCAAAGATAATTGAGAGTGGCCTCAGTGACATCAGCCAGCTCCCTCAGCAGCCATGGACGCAACTTCTAAAGCCCCACGGACTTACATATTTCCAATTTAAGTGCTCCCTAACTGGTCTTCCTCCACTGCTCCAGACTCCCTCTGGCCTGGTGGCCTGAGACTGCTGAAGGTCAGTATGAATAAAGTACTGACATTGTTCTCAGGACAGGCAACAAGCTGTTTGGGTTTTTTTTTTAAGACTTTCTAGCATAGTGGCTGGAGCACCTAAATGGGAGATAGAAGTTCTAACCCCACAAGCATAGGCAAAGGGTAACTGTGGATGCTATGCTCCAACCAAGGCATGAGATCAAAGAAACAATTCCTCCTCCAACCATTTGGTGAATACAACCTTTGCTATCCCATTTTTACTAATACATGAAATAAAGCCTTTTGTTTGGGCCTCTTGGAACACATTGTGTCTATTGAAACATACATACAGATTTCTATCTGTGTGAGCTGATGCAGGCGGAATGCAGGAACAACCACAAAACCACAGATGAAATGCAAAGAGTAAATTTATTCTTGTAACCTTGTGACCTGGGGGATCTCCGCAGCAGCATCCGGGCAGAGGCACACAAGTGGAGACACAGGGACCGTGGAGCTCGGTCCTTGATAGCCAGAAAAAGGAGAAGAAATAAAAGATCTCAAACCTGCTGCTTTCACCTGTATATATCAAGGATTTTCACAGGCATAGTTTTCCACTGTGCTTTGATCTTTCCCACAGAGGGGCAGGAATCTCAAGGATGTTCGATAAGGTGCCTCTGAGTCTATCACAGGCCTATGTTATCTAAACACCGTCACGCACACAAAGCTAAACAACAATTAGGATGATATATGTGTTTTTCGACACCCCAGCTGCAAGCCACTTGAACATGTTTACAATCCTCCTTGCCAATCTTCCGTTGTACTCCCACACCATCTGAATGAAAAAACCCAAACATAATAAGTATTTTATCTAAGACTTTTCTTCAGACCAAAGTTGAGTTACATGAACACATACACAGCTGTCCCACTAGATAACATTTCATGTGCTAATGTGCCAGGAATCTGTACCAATACCAATGGTGATGCATTTGGGATAAGTGAGCTACAATGTGGGTATTGTTATTTTTCAAAAGCCTGTGAAATCACACAAAAGAAAAAAATTATTAGTGCTGGAAAGATGAGGTTTTCTAATCACCGGAGTTCAGAAATAAGGTTGTTTATACAAATCTAAGCTTGTTCTATCCAGTTCCTTATGTGCAATATAGACTTACAGAATCGAATATAGCTCACCCATTCCCTGAAGAGGATGGAAAAACTCCCTGATGATGTCATTACAGCCTTTTATCATTATCTTGCAACAATTGCTCCCTGTGTACTATCAATATTCTACATTTAATACTTTTTCCTATGATGCTCAACACCGATCAAACTTTTCACATCTTCTCTCTCAGCGTGTACGACCACGTAGGCGTTGAGGCATGTTTTGGGGGTGGAGGGAAGAGGATGGTCAGGCGTCATCAAGCAACAGAGGGCCTCTGCTGAACGGCGTGCCGGACCATGGCTCGGCTCAAAGCAGCAGCGTCTGACGTGCCTCCGCAGGGCAGCAAGGGCACACAACGCTGCAAATAAGGGCGAAAAAGGCTAGTGATGGGGAAGAGGGGTGCAGATACAGAGGGCACAAGCCTTACTTTCAGGGTGTGAGAGTGGATGCATCTAGACGAACCGGTTGGTTCACAGCAGTCAGTTGACTTGTGTTTGTGTTTGTGTAGCAAGACAAAGTGAGGGATGTTCTTACCCCTCGTTCACCAGGGAAAGGATTGAGGCTGAAACATTCATTTGAAGTATCAACTGGTTTTGGACATGCCCCTTTCGGCCTCCCTTTCAGCCGGTAGATAGGGAAAATGGCACGTTTCCCTTGCGTTCAATTTATTTGTAGCACAGCTTTCACTGATGTCAGGTGCAGCTGTAAGTGCTCAGCACTTTGACAAATCTACACCGAGTTACCTTGAGGCAGACAGCAGAAGGAAGAACGAAATCATTGACAAGATGTAGGAAAAAGATATTTTAACGATCTCCTGTAACCACATAGAAATTATTTTATATAAAGAGTGTATTCTAGTCCTGAAAAGGAATTTCAGCCACTTTAACTGGATTATCTTTTCTCTTCTTCCAGACCCTTGCATCATTCATGGCCTGTTTGTTTATTATCATTTGCACCGTGCGTTGATGAAGCAAGACTCTTGCTGAAGGCTGTTGTTGTGAATAAGGCTTATTAAAATGAATATGCACAAGAAAAGCAAGTTAAATCCAGGCAGATTTTATTCTCCGGTGTCCTAATTTTTTAATCCTTCTCTTGGCACATACAGTATCTCTGAAGGTAACTGGCAACCATACCAACTACTGGAGCCAAAACAACGTATAGGAGCTTGACTGCCTATCACTTGTACCCCAGAAGTTAGCCAGGTAGTGACAGCTGATGTGGACAGTGCAAAGTGTAGCCCTTTCTTCTATTCAGAATGTACTCGCTGACCTTCCCCCCACTACCTTTCTTTTGGCATTAATACATTTCTACTCCCAGGGGCAGGAGTACAGAGAAAGCTCCCTTCCCTGCCTTCCCCTCTGTGCTACACCATTGCACATCACCCTGTGAGCTCTTTGGTGTAGGTCTCAAGACAGCAGGACCACGATCCCAAACTGGGACCTCCTGCTACCCTACCACTAAATACTAGTGGGTATGAGAGGGATCATGCAGGCCCACTCGCAAGGCACAGCAAGGTAACGCCGCCACCAGGCTCCTCGCAGGAGACGTGCAGACCGTGAGGAAGAGCGCATCGGACTACGGTCTGTTGTAACGCCTCAGCTTCGGCTTGTGGTGCGGAGCCATCAATCTTTTCCCAGTCCTTGGCTAACTTAAATGAACAACACAGAGTGTTTATACGAAGTTGTTAAGCATAAGAGGGATGAGAAAGTTCCATTTATGTAAATTTATAGAATACCAAATGCATAACTAAACTGTATCTGTAACTGCAGCCAAGGACTTTTCTTGGACACGTTGCAATTGCTTTCCAGCTTTAGCAAAGCCTTTAAGAGTAGATACCAGCAGTATTACTTTGTTCCAAAAGAGGGTGCTAAAACATAACATGTATTACAAAAACTTCAAAGCTGAGCAATTGCTCAATCCGATACTTCCTCCAGCATAAATTTATTGTGTCTTAGATTATATTTTATGTCCTTGCAGCTGGCAATTTAATACAAGCTTTAGCCTTAGCTGTATAGACATGTTACACCAGCTATAGTTTCAAAAACAACAAGCACTGAAGAAAATGACATTACAGAAAGAACCGACCATACCAGAGAATAACAAGAAGACAAACTTTCAATTTTTTTTTTTGATAAATTACAAAGTCTTTTCACTTTAGCCTGTTTGCTCAAATTTGATTCAATGCAGTTTTCTTACTGACAGTCCTTAAGCACTCACTGAGAGCTAACAAAAATTCTGTCACCCTGACCTTGTAACTCCCCAGGATGTCACTAGCAGAACCAAGATCTTTAGATACACAACCATTGTCCTGTGCCAATAAAATCAGAAAAAGAATGGATAACAGAAGAAAGAACCTCTTTCATTTGAGCTAGCTGCTCAGGGAAAGAGGAGTCATTTTGCCAGTGAGTTGGACAAATGCTACTGACAGGACGATTTTGCCACACAGGCAGGTCCTGAGTTTAAGTTCATTTATTCCAAGTTTTGGAGGAGATCATGATCAAGAGCAGTATTTGGTAATGGGAGACATGTCTAGTTTCACTGTTCTTTCTCAAACTAAAACTTTAACCCACTGACTGAAACTTTGCAGAGGTTGAGAATTGCCGGTAGTTGGCTGCTCAGCGGTACCTTGTCCACCCTGTTTCCTGCTGAGCTGCAAACTCTTTGGGACCTAGCAGCTCGGAAGTCATTGCAACTCAAAGTTGCTTTTCCTAAGCTGCAGAGATATTCAAAACCTGACTTCACAGAGCTCTGGGCAGCTGGCTGTAGGTGGCCCTGCTTGAGCAGGTAGGTTGGACCAGATGATCTCCAGAGATCCCTTCCAACCTCAACCAGTCTGTGACTCTGTCTGTTAGGTAGTTTGTGACAAGGTCCAACCTGAAACAACCCCTGCTCCAGCAGGACTCAAGCTAACTCCCTGTGGTATTTCACCATGATCAGTAGTTGTTGTATAACAGCATCGCCCCAGAATGAAGTGCTGTTTAAATTGCCTCCACTTACTCTCCTTGTTTCCAAGGTCTTTCAGCTGAAACTAAGCAATTCCATTTGTCCACATATTGACTTGGTTTTCTGCCTTTCCTCTCAGCACAACATACTGTTCAGCAACCAGTCAAACCTAATGTGCATGGCAGAGGTCTGCTGTGCTCAGTGCCTGGGATCCAACTAAATGCATGGCATCACCCTCCATCTAAAACAGATGAGTCCAAATCCTGCCACAACCCTTAAATCTCCAAATTCAGGTCATTAGAGAGGTGTTAAAAATACCTGTAATACTATTAGAGCTTCTTTCAGATGCCACCAGAATCCTATTTGCTTCCTATGTGTGTCTACATTAGAGACATTATTGCTTTGGTAAAAAATAAAATTGCTACTATAGAAGGAAACTACATTAATTAGTATTAATATAATGTGTCAGGTACAAGGAACTCAAGAAATTAGAAGTGTTACATCTTTGCCAAGCTTGAACATATGTTTCCATTCCAATTTAGACGAATTAAAACAAGAATAAAGAGAAAAAAGTTTTGTCTTACCGGGTTCTTAGGCCTGTATTTGACTTGACACACTAACTCCAGCCTGTTTGGACCAGAAAGAAATTGGAATAAAAGTGGTGAGGCTGAAGTACTCCAATGCACTGTGTCACTACTATGGTTCTCTCTCAGTCAGCTTCCAAATTGCTCCTTGCTTTACAGCACCTAAAGAGTAATCTTTTGGACAAAGAGGACAATTTTCTGCTTAGGGAACAACTTCTCTGGGGACAGAATGGATATCAAAAAGTATTTCTCTTCAATATTTCAACATGGTCTGTAGTGATGCAGAAAGAATTGAATAATCTACCAAAAAGATGAATTAGAGGAAAGGCTGGCAGGTCAACCTCAGGAATTGCAGCAGTTCGGTGTCGACTAACACGCCGGGATTTGGAAGCTCAAGCGAACAAGTTAGCGTCTATAGAAGGGGACTAGAAGTTACATGAGGATACACTTTCACGTGAAGCTTCTGGCAGCATCATGGCTGGGCAGGCAGCCCTGGGAAAACAGCCATTCTCACAGCCCTTGGCGTACCTCTGCACTGGGGTCCAAGAAAAAGCGAGGGGTGAAGTAGTAGATGGACAAAACTCCTACCAGGAAGGAAGTCTTGAGGGTTAGGACATCAGCGCTACATCGAGGGCAAATATAGCCCGTCTATACATCAAGTACACTTTAATTTGTGAACATGTACCCGTCCTGCACCACACGTGGTCCACTTAGCTTAATTTCCACTGCTTGTGCTACCGAAACTGGGAAAGACTGTTCTCTGAGCCCTGGTCAACAAAACTCTGAACAGACAGAATTGAGAGGGCAGCAATGGGAGCACATGGACAAATGGGTCATTTTTGACAAGTTCGCATTTAAAAAAGAAAATAAAAATGAAGAGGTTTAATATTTTAAAAAATATTGTGTTGGTTTCACATGCCAAAGACTGCTTTATTAAAAACAAGAGAAAACAAGCAGGATATTTTCAATAAGCTTTGATAGTTCAAATCAATGTTTTATAGGAGATATAAGGCTTCGTTAGAATTCAGAATAAAAATTGGTTTTGAAGGTATGAAATTTTGTGCTTGTTCCACCAAGCACAAAGCCTCCCCTCTTCCCTGACCTTTTTGTGTTTATATCAGTGGCAGAGTGGTGACAGAGTCAGTAGCTCCTGCTCTGTGTGATTTTTGCCTCTTCCCTAGCCAACATAAATAAATATTTGCTTTTCAATTCCTTACTAATAGACAGATCTCCAGGCAGGAGCCACAGTGACATTGGTCCCACCCTGGGATGGTGCGTGGAGGACTCAGGGCTTCAGGTCAGAGAATTTACCTGCAAATATGAGTTCTGGGCTATAGACTGAACCCTTTGTGAAACACAGCAGAGTCACACTGGGATCACAGTAGCCAGCCAGTGCCCCCATCTGCCCCTGAAACGGCCTGTCAGTGGAGATCCCTCTGAACTGAATCTTCCCAAGGGCTTTGTCAAAGGCTGATGGCCACTACCCACAGTGATGCCTCAGGCGGCGGTGAAACAGCCCCTTTAACCTTTTCCCCTTCTCAAGGGCTGCATCCCCACCTCCCTGCGGTTGCTCACCACCCTCTCCCCATCCTCCCTCTAGTCCTCCCCTTCCAGGTGCATGGCGATGCCGCCGGGAGCTGTGAGCATCCTTCCCTCCCCAGGGCCACCAGGACCCAGCCTTCCTTCCCTCCCTCCTGTCCCGGTGTGGGCTGGAATAGAGTTAATGTTCCTTTTTGGTAACTAGGATAGTGCTGTGGTTTGGATTCAGCTTTGGGTTTGGTATGAGATGAATGCTGATGGCTGCTGCTGGGATTTCAAGGACTCTCCAACTCCCCACATCCTGCCTGTGTGGAAGCTCACAAGAAGCAGGGAGGGAGCACGGCCAGAGCACCAGACCCAAACTGACCGATGAAATATTCCATATCATGTAACATCATGCTCACTGTATAGAGGAGGGGTGCTCGGGAAAGGGCTCGCTCTCTCTCGCTTCTGGGATTAAGATTGCAGGGTCTTGGTATTTCAGGATCGCTGGCCGAGAATGGGCTGGGTGTCGGTCAGCGGGCAGCGAGAAATCACATTGTGCATTGCCCGTTTATATGTTCTATTACTGTCATTGTTTTCATTTTATTACCATTATTAAACCGTTTCCATCTCCACCTGCGAGTCTCCCTTTACCCCTCCAATTCCCTCCCCCATTCCCAGGTTGAGGGGTGGGGGGGGAGGGTGCGTGCTGTTTGGCTGCCAACCAGGCTCAAACCACCACACCTCCCCACGGCTACCGGGACCCGGCCTTCCCTCCCTCCCTATAGCCACCGGGACCCTGCCTTCCTTCCCTCCCTATAGCCACCGGGACCCTGCCTTCCCTCCCTCCCTATAGCCACCGGGACCCGGCCTTCCCTCCCTCCCTATAGCCACCGGGGCCCGGCCTTCCCTCCCTCCCTATAGCCACCGGGACCCAGCCTTCCTTCCTTCCTTCCCTCCCTCCCTCCCCGCGGCCACCGGAGCCGGCGGGGGCGGGCGCGGCGGAGCCGGGGAGGAGGCGGCGCCTTATAGCGCGGGCGCGGCGGGCAGCGCCGGCAGAGCCGCGCCGGCCGGTACCCTGGACAGCGCCCCGCCGCCCCGCCGCCATGGTGAGCGTCCCCCCGCACCCCCCCCGCACCCCCAATCCCTCCCCGCACCCCCAATCCCCCCCCGCCACCCCCCATCCCTTCCCCGCCGCTCCCCTCCCGGCTCATCCGCACACACCCCCCCCCCCGCTCCTAAGGGTTAAATTCGGGGCGCGCTTTTTCGTGGCGGGGGGGGTGGGAGGGAGCCGAGGGACGCTCACACGGAGGAACGGGGTGGTGGGTGGAAGGAGCAAGCTGGCCAGACTCTGCGTGTCCTGTCCCCGCCCCCCCGCGCGGCGTGGGGCAGCCGGGAGCCCCCGCGCCCGTCCCCGCGCCGAGCAGCCGCATTTTTCCCCGTTTCGAGGTGCGCTTGGGCACATTACATAAACAGATTATTCCCGGCGGTATGTTAATAGAAGCTCTTGCGTTAGTCACACAATCTGTAGTGGAACACTTTTTTTTTTTTTTTCCATGTAATGAATGAACAATAGAGTTTTAGATTCCAGTTTAGCATTTAAGAGTTAAAGTGGAACAACGCAGTCACTTATTTGGCGAGTAGGGCCCTTTCCCCATAGCACACCGTGTCGTTGCAGTCACAGTAGCTTCCCCAGAGGAGCTCATCCTGTTTATGAACAATAATGCGTTAAGTGCAACGCTGACCTTACAAAGTAGGACGATATCACACAGGTATTTTGCGGCCTTAAAGTCCGAGGTACAGTGGGGCTGAATAACTTGCCCAAGCTTGTCGTATCAGAAGCTTGGGACATGATTAACAACAGAGCCTAGTTTTTCTTTCATACGATTTAACAACAAAGGTTAGGGGTTTTTTTGTTTGTTTGTTTGTTTTTTTTTCCAAATCTCTTTGCATCACACATAGTAATTTCTGCCTTCCTTGCATACAAATCAATTTGGAATCCACACACACCACCCCCCGGGTGATTCAGACATGAATAATAATCAAACAGTCTTTCTATGAATTAACTTGGGTCCTCTTCCTAACAGTCATGTACCCATCTGCTGCCACTCTGAATCTGTTCCTCCTATTTAGTCTATTCGCAATCAGCTCAGACTCAGGATGATCGATAGGAAAAGACCTTATTGAAAAAGACCAGAAATGGTGCAGTAGTTTATGTTTTCTAGGACCCCTAGAATTACTTCCCACAACATTACTGAATTCCTATTTATTATCATCGCGTGAAACATAAACCCCAAATATATGACTAAATTACCATAACTGCACAAAAGCCTAAGCTAATACCAGCCACTGAAAACGCCTTCCTTATGATATAGCGAGGGCAGTTATAAAGACAACCGGTGTTGCTGAAGGCAATGCGCATTATTTCTCCATAACAGGTACCCCTAACATCCAGGTGCTCAGAAGTGCTGAGTCAACTGGAAAGAAAGTTAAAATAGCCTGAACCAGCTAAAATACTTCGTTTTGACTCCTTCCAGAACTGAGATGAAGTCAGTTACACTGGTGCAAATCAAGGAAAATTTTTTGGTAACACAGGCATTGGAAACTTTGTATTTGTACTATTGGAAATGGCAGCCGCGACCTACGCTTAACCTGTTATTTCTGGTTCTTAGAGCTGTTTAATTCACCTTGAAGTTATTCTTCTGGTAGCAGTATCTAGAAATCACCATTCAGAGCTATGCATAGGTTTCTATTAGCAAGTGTTACTCCCCTGTATCTCCAATAACCTTAGTGTTGAAAAGTTGCTGAGATTTCCCAAGCCTTGTTACTCATACATACAGGCATTCTGTGGGGAAAATGGCCAATTTGGGAAAATCCTTAAAGTGGTATAAAGGCTGAAGGTTGTTTTGGCTCTAAAGTTTGAAGGAGTGTCCTTGGAACATTAGCTACCAAATCTAAAACCTGAACTTTTGATGAAAACTGTTGCAATGATGATAATGCAGTGTTAAAAGTTACAGCACCTTGATGTCTGGGTGGACCTGGAGCTTGAGGGTGTAGGGATACATGGACACAGGAGGGTACTACCAAAGGTCCAGGAGCAAATGAATCAGAAACATAGATTTTTAGCCCAAGTAGTGAGAACAGTATTTTAACACTCCCTTCTCTAGTGGCACAGAAATAAGTAGGTGTTTGTTGCTAGTGTCTCTTCAACTCAGCTGAGTTTCCTCAGCATCCTGGTGTTCAATCACTGTTATTTGTACACAGAAGAAAACATTTTCTCTTTTCTTGAAACTTCATTTTGCTGAAGCAGCAAACCACGGCCTTCATCAGGCTTTAAGTGTTTCCTCGGCATCCCCACTGTATGAGGACAGCCACAGTGGGATGGTTCTTCTGTTTATGTAGTTCACTGCAGCCCTATGTACTTCAGTGAATCTAGGTCAAATTACACTGGCTCAGGATTTGGCTGCACCCTTGAACTTTAAACCGATTATAAATTTTGATTTGTCAGTGTATTTTCCATGGGGTCAAATCCCACTTTTACAGAGTAAGAGAGTGTATAACCTTGCACAGTGCATGGCAATTAATACTTACAAAGAGGCTAGGTAACACTATGGTAAGCATAAACATGAGGATGGTGTGAAGCTGTATTGAACAGGTTCAAGTATCCATACCTCTACAATAATCCAGTTGCAGAGGGGTTATATAGACAGGAGCTAGAATATTTTTTAAATTCCCTAAGAGATTTTGATAACCAGTGCAGTCTGAAATCAATGAAGAAAGATGCCTAAACCTTCTAAGCGTTCACAGGCATCATGGCCACCCTGTCAGGGTATGATGCTTATGTGGTCATACATTGAATGCAGGACATACCAAAAGGGCCCTAGACAGCAACAAATCTCTCTTCTTTTTTGTCAGTAGCCAAAATAATACCTTGCTTCACTGTCCATTAGTATTTGTTCATTGCCCTGAGCACCTCCTGAAAAAAGAGTACTGCAAAGACAATGTTCCAGCCCCTGAACACTGACACACAAACTGGAAGAGAACATTTCCTGTAGAAAGAGATCAATGCAGCACAAATCCATGACCGACACAGGAATCAGTCCTACAATACCCACTGCCAATGAGATCTCTCCAGGTCTATCAGAGTGGAAAGAGAGCAGACATCAGCAGCCCCACCATCCAGAACCACGGCAGCAGGCCAGGGTTGTGCCAGCTGATACAAAATCAGTGAGCTACAAGAAAACATGCTCAGAAGCTACATATAGAACACACAAAGGGACACAAGTACTTGCATAGAAACTCAAGAAGGTGCACCGAAGCAATTTGCATATGATGGGATTGATTAAAAAAACCTCGAGGACCTGAAATAAGAGTCCTGTGCTTCATTTACATAGTTAGTTATCAAAACCTGCATGCTGGCCTTGGTGTTGATCCCTTTCATCTCTAGGAAGATCCTCTGATACTTTAAGACCGATCATTATAGCTTCATTACAAGCAGGCTGACCTGTGAAAAGAGACAGACTCCTGTTGTTCATCAGGAACTTGATTTTAATTTAGTTTAATAGCATCTCCTGATTTTATTAAAGAAAAAAGTTAATTGAATGCAAACACTTTAAAATTGAACCTCTGACTCCATTAAAAGTTGAGGAAAAACCTGCAGTTTTTTCTTTAGGTATTAGTAAACTCCAGATTAATGTAAATATAAAGGGCTAGTTTATTGCCTGATCTAATCCAGCTTCAAGTGTAAACCAACAGAATCACATCAGGTAGGAATCTTTCCTGCTGCTTTCATTCTATGCTATATGAGAGTTTTGTTAATCACTGCCTGTAAAACTGATTTAGGCTTCATACAAATTGAGCCTCAAGTCCCTATTCAATGATAAAGTAACATGTCACAAGTGGAGCCTAACTTGTAATCAAAGAAGGTAAAGGAGAAGGGAAGGAAATCAGGAGGATGAAACTAGGTGTACCACTGGTTGTTCAGAGAAAGCTGCTGGGGTGACTCTGCCTTGTGAGGCAATGGTGGAAGGGCAGGAGAAGGGTTGCCCAGCTGCAACAGAGAAGCAACACCTTGTGAGACTGGGGCCTGCGGCTCTGCCGCATTAGGAATGGCACGCTTCAGACTTCAAGCAGATCAAATTTACCAGCCAATTTGTAAGTGCCTGGCAACAGCTGAGCTTATAAATCCGTTATCTGCATACACCCCCTATGGCTTATCATACGCTAAATACATGGGACACAATATCTGAGTGACTGTATCTTTACCCATAGGACTACTGCACAGCTGACAAGTGGAGTTCAACATGAAATAAAGTGAATATTTAGGTCTTCTGTGGGGCTTCTTACCTACCTAAAACAGTTTTTGAGGGTTAGTTATGCTCCGATCTAGGAGGGTAAGAGGGAACAAGTTACATCTTCAAAAATATGACAATTAACGTTATACTGGCATCAATACTGAAAGCCCTCTGATTTGATGTCAATCTAATAACAACTGAGTGATTTTTTAAAAGATGAAGTCCATCTAGCTAATGACTTTTAAACTGCACTGCATTTTCTCTTCCTCAGTCAAAACTGACCGTGAAAAAATTGTAAAGGTCAGATGTCCCAAACTGAAGGAAATCGAACCCCATGCGCCAGAAATTTCTGTATGAAGATGTGTAGTTAGAGAATTAAAAAAACAAGATTGTTTTCATCACTATTGGGATACATTTTGATTTCTTCCCCTAAGAAGGAGAGATACGGAAATTAAAAAGTACTTCATATTCTGTGTCATTATTTGAAAGCCAAACACAGCAAAAAAATGGAAGTTAGATATAGGGTGGCCAAGTTTTAAATAAATACCCTAAAATCAAGCATAGGAAAGCTCAGCAAAACCATTCTTTCCCTACCTCCTAAAGGCCCCCTAAAGTGTACTAGTCAGTAGTTAACCTTTCATGACACTTTGCAGCTAGCAAACACAATGTGATGCAGCAACCTAACAGGGGGAGTAACACAGGTGAAGAAAAGCCTACAGTTGTTTTTCTTTCCCCTATGTGACAATACTTGATGCAGTTTGCAGACACTTTGTATCATTAGGGCCTTACCATGCAGCACAGTCATTAGTATTTTT